TGGGTTGTTTGGTGTGTGTGTGCTGGCGTGTCCATGTTGGTGTGTTGGCGTGTGTGTGCTGGCGTGGCCGTGTCGGTCTGTGGTGTGTGTGTGCTGCCGTGGCCGTGTTGGTGTGTTGGCGTGTGTGTGCTGGTGTAGCCGTGTTGGTGTGTTGGCGTGTGTGTGCTGGCGTGGCCGTGTTGGTGTGTTGGTGTGTGTGCTGGCGTGGCCGTGTTGGTGTGTTGGCATGTGTGTGCTGGCGTGGCCGTGTTGGTGTGTTGGCCTGTGTGTGCTGGCGTGGCCGTGTTGGTGTGTTGGCGTTGCCGTGTTGGTGTGTTGGTGTGTGTGTGCTGGTGTGGCCGTGTTGGTGTGTTGGCCTGTGTGTGCTGGTGTGGCCGTGTTGGTGTGTTGGCGTGTGTGTGCTGGCGTGTCCATGTTGGTGTGTTGGCGTGTCTGTGCTGGCGTGTCCATGTTGGTGTGTTGGTGTGTCTGTGCTGGCGTGTCCATGTTGGTGTGTTGGTGTGTCTGTGCTGGCGTGTCCATGTTGGTGTGTTGGCGTGTGTGTGCTGGCGTGGCCGTGTCGGTGTGTTGGCATGTGTGTGCTGGCGTGGCCGTGTTGGTGTGTTGGCCTGTGTGTGCTGGTGTGGCCGTGTTGGTGTGTTGGCCTGTGTGTGCTGGCGTGGCCGTGTTGGTGTGTTGGCGTGTGTGTGCTGGCGTGGCCGTGTTGGTGTGTTGGCGTGTGTGTGCTGGCGTGGCCGTGTTGGTGTGTTGGCGTGTGTGTGCTGGTGTGGCCGTGTTGGTGTGTTGGCTTGTGTGTGCTGGCGTGGCCGTGTTGGTGTGTTGGCATGTGTGTGCTGGCGTGGCCGTGTTGGTGTGTTGGTGTGTGTGTGCTGGTGTGGCCGTGTTGGTGTGTTGGCGTGTGTGTGCTGGCGTGTCCGTGTTGGTGTGTTGGCGTGTCTGTGCTGGCGTGTCCATGTTGGTGTGTTGGCGTGTCTGTGCTGGCGTGTCCATGTCGGTGTGTTGGCGTGTGTGTGCTGGCGTGGCCGTGTCGGTGTGTTGGCATGTGTGTGCTGGCGTGGCCGTGTTGGTGTGTTGGCGTGTGTGTGCTGGCGTGGCCGTGTTGGTGTGTTGGCGTGTGTGTGCTGGCGTGGCCGTGTTGGTGTGTTGGCGTGTGTGTGCTGGCGTGGCCATGTTGGTGTGTTGGCGTGTGTGTGCTGGCGTGGCCGTGTTGGTGTGTTGGCTTGTGTGTGCTGGCGTGGCCGTGTTGGTGTGTTGGTCTGTGTGTGTGCTGGCGTGGCCGTGTTGGTGTGTTGGCGTGGCCGTGTTGGTGTGTTGGCGTGTGTGTGCTGGCGTGGCCGTGTTGGTGTGTTGGCGCCTGTGTGTTGGCGCCTGTGTGTTGGCGCCTGTGTGTTGGCGCCTGTGTGTTGGCGCCTGTGTGTTGGCGCCTGTGTGTTGGCGCCTGTGTGTTGGCGCCTGTGTGTTGGCGCATGTGTGTTGGCGCCTGTGTGTTGGCGCCTGTGTGTTGGCGCCTGTGTGTTGGCGCCTGTGTGTTGGCGCCTGTGTGTTGGCGCCTGTGTGTTGGCGCCTGTGTGTTGGCGCCTGTGTGTTGGCGCCTGTGTGTTGGCGTGTGTGCTGACCCGGGTCTGGCTGTTGTGCAGGAGATCACCCGGAAGGTGTACCGAGGGCTGTTGGACCTCCTGAAGTGCTGTGTGTCGAGTCTCGAGCACTGCTACAGCCACTCGGCCCCCGGGGGCCTGGGCAGTGCCCTCACCCTCATGGAGATCGCCCACACACACTACTATACCAAAGGTCAGCTCCGCCGGGCACTGCCCCCTCACCCTCACCCCCTCACATCCTCACCCCCACACCCACCCTCACCGCCTCACCCACCCTCACCGCCTCACCCCCTCACACCCTCACCCTCACCCCCACACTCACCCCCTCACCCTCACCCCTCACACCCTCACCCCCTCACACCCTCACCCTCACCCTCACACCAACCCCCTCACCCCCTCACCCTCATGGAGATCGCACACACACACTACTACACCAAAGGTCAGCTCCGCCGGGCACTGCCCCCTCACCCTCACCCCCTCACACCCTCACCCCCACACTCACCCTCACCGCCTCACCCACCCTCACCGCCTCACCCCCTCACACCCTCACCCTCACCCCCACACTCACTCCCTCACCCTCACCCCCTCACACCCTCACCCTCACCCCCTCACACTCTCACCCTCACACCAACCCCCTCACCCCCTCACCCTCATGGAGATCGCACACACACACTACTACACCAAAGGTCAGCTCCGCCGGGCACTGCCCCCTCACCCCCTCACCCCCACCCTCACCCCCTCACCCCCTCACACCCTCACCCCCTCACCCACCCTCACACCCTCACACCCTCACCCCCACCCTCACCCCCTCACCCTCACCCTCATGGAGATCGCACACACACACTACTACACCAAAGGTCAGCTCCGCCGGGCACTGCCCCCTCACCCTCACCCCCTCAACCCCACCCTCACCCCCTCACCCTCACCCCCCCACACCCTCACCCTCACACCAACCCCCTCACCCCCTCACCCTCATGGAGATCGCACACACACACGACTACACCAAAGGTCAGCTCCGCCGGGCACTGCCCCCTCACACCCTCACACCCACCCTCACCGTCACCCCCTCACACCCCTACCCCCTCACCCCCTCACCCTCATGGAGATCGCACACACACACTACTACACCAAAGGTCAGCTCCGCCGGGCACTGCCCCCTCACACCCTCACACCCACCCTCACCCCCTCACACCCACCCCCACCCTCACACCCGCCCCCACCCTCACCCTCACACCAACCCCCTCACCCTCACCCCCTCACACCCTCACCCTCACACCCACCCCCACCCTCACCCTCACACCAACCCCCTCACCCCCTCACCCTCACACCCCCCTCACTCCCTCACACCCTCCCTCTCTCCCTCACACTCCCCCCCATCCTTCACATGCTCCCTCATACTCTCACACCCCCCCTCACTCCCTCACACCCTCCCTCTCTCCCTCACTCCCTCACACCCTCCCTCATATCCTCACACCCCCCTCACTCCCTCACACCCTCACACTCCCCCTCATCCTTCACATGCTCCCTCATACCCTCACACCCCCCCTCACTCCCTAACACCCTCCCTCTCTCCCTCACTTCCTCACACCCTCCCTCCCTGCCTCCCTCCCTCATATCGTCCCTCATACCCTCACACCCTCCCTCACACCCTCCCTCTCTCCCTCACTCCTTCACACCCTCCCTCCCTGCCTCCCTCCCTCACACCCTCCTTCATACCTTCACACCCTCCCTCACACTCTCCCTCATACCCTCACATCCTCCCTCCCTCCCTAACACCTTCCCTCCCTCCCTCACAGCCTCCCTCACACCCTCCCTTACACCATCCCTCCTTCCCTCCCTTCCTCACATCCTCCCTCCCTCGCTCACTCACACCCGGTGTGTCTCTCCCCCTCACACAGGGCGTGTCTGCCTCCCCCGCCCGCCCGCCCGCCCACCGGCTCGCTCTCCCCCGGCTCGCTCTCCCCCCGGCTCGCTCTCCCCCCGGCTCGCTCTCCCCCCGGCTCGCTCTCCCCCGGCTCGCTCTCCCCCCGGCTCGCTCTCCCCCGGCTCGCTCTCCCCCGGCTCGCTCTCCCCCGGCTCGCTCTCCCCCCGGCTCGCTCTCCCCCGGCTCGCTCTCCCCCCGGCTCGCGCTCCCCCGGCTCGCTCTCCCCCGGCTCGCTCTCCCCCCGGCTCGCTCTCCCCCCGGCTCGCTCTCCCCCCGGCTCGCTCTCCCCCCGGCTCGCTCTCCCCCCGGCTCGCTCTCCCCCCGGCTCGCTCTCCCCCGGCTCGCTCTCCCCCCGGCTTGCTCTCCCCCCGGCTCGCTCTCCCCCCGGGCGGGAGTGCTCAGTGCAGCTCTGAATGCCAAGACGCAGTGGTGTAAAGGCTGCGGTTGGACTGTGAAAGCATTGAGCAGCTCAAGTCTTGAAGCCTTTGTAAATGGTTGTGTGTTCAGGTTCTGTGAGCGCAGCGCAGGGCTGTACTGTACTGCTGTCTGCCCACTGGTTACTGAATCCCCAACCAATGGGAACAGCTTCTTTATGTGAATCTTATCAAACCTGTTTATTATTCCCTCTTAAATATCTCTTCTCCATTGAAAAAAGGTATTTACTTCTCACCCTTCCAGCCTGTCCTGCTCGCACTGAGCCGCCAGCCCTGGTATCATCCTTGTAAACCTACGCTGTGCTCTGTCCATCACTGTGATATCCTTCTTATAGTGTAGAGACCAGAATTAGACATAATACTCCAAATATCCAACCAAAGTGTTGAATACATTCAGCATCACCTGCTCACGTTTATCCATGTATATAAACCTCAAACCCCATTGGCCTCATTATATCCCGATCATCATGTAGCCAAGTGTACATTTGTGCTAAAAATAGAGAAAGAAATACAGCCAAAGATGCGGTTGAAGAAGAAGGTCTTTGGAGGCAAACGTGGGCGTGAGGCAAAGTCCCAAATGGTGGGGGCAGAGAGGCTGAAGGCCCAACCACTGAAGATGGGGGAGGCCAGACATGAAGCAGGCTGGAGCCCGCCGAGCGGAGGGAGGGAGGGAGCATGATGGTGGGGGTTAGGAGGTGGCAGAGGTCGGGGGGAGTGAGGCCATGGAGGGCTGTGAAGATTAGGACCAGGATTGTGAACTGTATCCTCTGTGTGATGGGAAGCCAGTGGGGTCGGGTGAGGAAGGGGGTGATAGGGTCATGGAGCCTGGTGTGGGTGAGGAAGGGGGTGATAGGGTCACGGAGCCTGATAGGGGTGAGGATGAGGGTGATAGGATCACGGAGCCTGGTGGGGGTGAGGAAGGGGTGATAGGATCACGAAGCCTGGTGGGGTGAGGAAGGGGGTGATAGGGTCACGGAGCCTGGTGGGGTGAGGAAGGGGGTGATAGGGTCACGGAGCCTGGTGGGGGTGAGGAAGGGGGTGATAGGGTCACGGAGCCTGGTGGGGGTGAGGAAGGGGGTGATAGGGTCACGGAGCCTGGTGGGGGTGAGGAAGGGGGTGATAGGGTCACGGAGCCTGGTGGGGGTGAGGAAGGGGTGATAGGGTCACGGAGCCTGGTGGGGGTGAGGAAGGGGGTGATAGGGTCACGGAGCCTGGTGGGGGTGAGGAAGGGGCTGCAGAGTTCTGGATGATCTGCAGCCTGTGGAGGGAGGAGTTGGGGGCTGACAAGCAGGGAGTTTGCACAGTGGAGTCTGGAGGTGATGAAGGCGTGAACAAGAGTTTCAGTGGCCTGAGGGTTGAGGTAGTGGCAGAGTCGGGCGATGTTGCGGAGGTGGGGAAGGCAGAGCGGGTCATGGCACAGACGTGGGGTAGTCAGTGTAATTGGTAGTCAAACAGGACCCCAAGGTTCAGGACCGGCTCAGTGAGGGGTGTGAGCCCCAGGGATGGTGATACTGTCATTACAGTCTGTGCTCATTGCCGTTTCCCCTCGTTATGTCTCTCTCCCGGGTGGTGTTCTCTCAGCCCCGGGGTCTGCAAGTCTGTGTCTTTTCTCTCCTGTTACTTAAAGACTCTGACAAGAGGAAGCCGAGTCCAACAGAGGGAGGACCTGGGGGCAGAAATGAGACCTCGACAGCAAAGAGAGACCCTCGGCCCTCTGGAGTGCCGCTCAGCCACCTGCTGCCACCACCACCGGCCCCTGTCAGGAATGGGGTGGGCGAGTATGACAGCCGGAGTCTGAATGAAGAAAACTTTATAGCCTCCATCGGTGTGTACTGCGCTTGAGCTGCTAACAGTGCAGTGAGGAGTGTCCGGGAGTGTGTGACTTGCTCTCGGCCGCTTCAGTCAGGCAGAGCCCAGAGCATTGCCAGCGCATCACTGTGCGTGTGTTGCCAGGCCGGGGCGGCGTGTGTTGCCAGGCCGGGGCGGCGCGTGTTGCCAGGCCGGGGCGGCGTGTGTTGCTGGGGCGGCGTGTGTTGCCAGGCCGGGGCGGCGTGTGTTGCCAGGCCGGGGCGGCGTGTGTTGCCAGGCCGGGCGGCGCGTGTTGCCAGGCCGGGGCGGCGTGTGTTGCTGGGGCGGCGTGTGTTGCCAGGCTGGGGCGGCGTGTGTTGCTGGGGCGGCGTGTGTTGCCAGGCTGGGGCGGCGTGTGTTGCCAGGCCGGGGCGGCGTGTGTTGCTGGGGCGGCGTGTGTTGCCAGGCCGGGGCGGCGTGTGTTGCCAGGCCGGGGCGGCGTGTGTTGCCAGGCAGGGCGGCGTGTGTTGCCAGGCCGGGGCGGCGTGTGTTGCCAGGCCGGGGCGGCGTGTGTTGCCAGGCCGGGGCGGCGTGTGTTGCCAGGCCGGGGCGGCGTGTGTTGCCAGGCAGGGGCGGCGTGTGTTGCCAGGCAGGGGCGGCGTGTGTTGCCAGGCCGGGGCGGCGTGTGTTGCCAGGCAGGGGCGGCGTGTGTTGCCAGGCAGGGGCGGCGTGTGTTGCCAGGCCGGGGCGGCGTGTGTTGCCAGGCCGGGGCGGCGTGTGTTGCCAGGCAGGGGCGGCGTGTGTTGCCAGGCAGGGGCGGCGTGTGTTGCCAGGCCGGGGCGGCGTGTGTTGCCAGGCCGGGGCGGCGTGTGTTGTCATGGTAATGCTGGTAGTAGTTAGAAAAGTTTTGTGTTGTACTGTAGTGCACTGTGTTACACTGTGATGTGTTGTAACTGTATTGTAGTGTACTGTGTTGTGCTGTACTATGTTGTACTGTGCTGTAGTGGACTGTGTTGTCCTGCACTATGTTGTACTATACTGTGATGCACTGCACAGTACTGTACTGCACTGTGTTGTGATGTACTGTGTTGTACTGCACTGTGTGGTACTGTACAGTGTTGTACTATTCTGTACTGTGTAGTACTGTACAGTATTGTACTGTTCTCTACTGCCTTGTGGTGTACTGTGTTGTACTACATTTTGTTGTACTGTGCTGTACTGCGTTGTGCTGTACTGTGCTATACTGTGTTATACTACACTGTATTGTACTGAACTGTATTGTACTGCACTGTATTGTACTGTGCTGTGTTGTACTGTGCTGTACTGTGTTGTACTGCACTGTATTATACTGTGCTGTGTTGTGCTATGCTGCACTGTGTTGTACTGTGTTGTACGCGTGTTGTACTGTACTGTGTTGTACAGTGCTGTACTGTATTGTACTGTCCTGTGCTGTACTGTGCTTCCTGTGCTGTACTGTGCTGTGCTGTCCTGTGTTGTACTGTGTTGTCCTGTGGTGTACTGTACTATGCTGTGCTGTACTGTGCTGTGCTTTAATGTACTGTGCTGTACTATGCTGTACTGTGCTGGACTGTGCAGTGCTGGACTGTGCTGTACTGTGCTGTCCTGTGCTGGACTGTGCAGTGCTGTACTGTGCTGTACTGTGCTTTCCTGTGCTGTCCTGTACTGTGCTGTGCTGTGCTGTACTGTGCTGTCCTGTGCTGGACTGTGCTGTCCTGTGCTGGACTGTGCTGTGCTGTCCTGTGCTGGACTGTGCTGTGCTGTACTGTGCTGTACTGTGCTGTACTGTGCTGTCCTGTGCTGGACTGTGCAGTGCTGTACTGTGCTGTACTGTGCTGTCCTGTGCTGTCCTGTACTGTCCTGTCCTGTCCTGTCCTGTGCTGTGCTGTACTGTGCTGTACTGTGCTGTTCTGTGCTGGACTGTGCTGTCCTGTGCTGGACTGTGCTGTGCTGGACTGTGCTGTGCTGTGCTGTACTGTACTCTACTGTACTGTACTGTGCTGGCCTCTTCTGGCCTGTGCTGTACTATGCTGGCCTGTGCTGGACTGTGCTGGCCTGTGCTGGCCTGTGCTGGACTGTGCTGGCCTGTGGATGGCCTGTGCCGGCCTGTGCTGGCCTGTGCTGTACTGTGCTGGCCTGTGCTGGACTGTGCTGGCCTGTGCTGGACTGTGCTGGCCTGTGCTGGACTGTGCTGGCCTGTGCTGGCCTGTACTGGCCTGTACTGTGCTGTCCTGTGCTGGCCTGTGCTGTACTGGCCTGTCCTGTGCTGGCCTGTGCTGGCCTGTGCTGTACTGTGCTGGCCTGTACTGTGCTGTCCTGTGCTGGCCTGTGCTGTACTGGCCTGTCCTGTGCTGGCCTGTGCTGTGCTGGCCTGTCCTGTGCTGGCCTGTGCTGTCCTGTACTGTGCTGTCCTGTGCTGTACTGTGCTGGCCTGTGCTGTACTGTGCTGGCCTGTGCTGGCCTGTACTGGCCTGTACTGTGCTGGCCTGTGCTGTACTGGCCTGTCCTGTGCTGGCCTGTGCTGGCCTGTGCTGTACTGTGCTGGCCTGTGCTGGCCTGTACTGTGCTGTCCTGTGCTGGCCTGTGCTGTACTGGCCTGTCCTGTGCTGGCCTGTGCTGGCCTGTGCTGTACTGTGCTGTGCTGTACTGTGCTGGCCTGTGCTGTGCTGTCCTGTACTGTGCTGTCCTGTGCTGGCCTGTGCTGGCTTGTCCTGTGCTGGCCTGTGCTGGCCTGTGCTGTACTGTGCTGGCCTGTGCTGGCCTGTGTTGTACTGTGCTGGCCTGTGCTGTCCTGTACTGTGCTGTCCTGTGCTGGCCTGTGCTGTGCTGTACTGTACTCTACTGTACTGTACTGTGCTGGCCTGTGCTGGCCTGTGCTGTGCTGGCCTGTCCTGTGCTGGCCTGTGCTGTGCTGGCCTGTCCTGTGCTGGCCTGTGCTGTGCTGGCCTGTCCTGTGCTGGCCTGTGCTGTCCTGTACTGTGCTGTCCTGTGCTGGCCTGTGCTGTGCTGGCCTGTCCTGTGCTGGCCTGTGCTGTACTGTGCTGTACTGTGCTGGCCTGTGCTGTACTGTGCTGGCCTGTGCTGTCCTGTACTGTGCTGGCCTGTGCTGGCCTGTGCTGGCCTGTGCTGTACTGTGCTGTACTGTGCTGGCCTGTGCTGTGCTGGCCTGTCCTGTGCTGGCCTGTGCTGGCCTGTGCTGTACTGTGCTGGCCTGTGCTGTACTGTGCTGGCCTGTGCTGTCCTGTACTGTGCTGGCCTGTGCTGGCCTGTGCTGGCCTGTGCTGTACTGTGCTGTACTGTGCTGGCCTGTGCTGGACTGTGCTGGCCTGTGCTGTGCTGGCCTGTGCTGGCCTTGCTGGCCTGTGCTGTACTGTGCTGGCCTGTGCTGTACTGTGCTGGCCTGTGCTGTGCTGGCCTGTCCTGTGCTGGCCTGTGCTGGCCTGTGCTGGACTGTACTGTACTGTGCTGTACTGTGCTGGCCTGTGCTGTACTGTGCTGGCCTGTGCTGTGCTGTGCTGTACTGTGCTGGCCTGTGCTGTGCTGTGCTGTACTGTGCTGGCCTGTGCTGGCCTGTGCTGGCCTGTGCTGTGCTGTACTGGCCTGTGCTGGCCTGTGCTGGCCTGTGCTGTACTGTGCTGGCCTGTGCTGGCCTGTGCTGGCCTGTGCTGTACTGTACTGGCCTGTGCTGTGCTGTGCTGTACTGTGCTGGCCTGTGCTGTACTGTGCTGGCCTGTGCTGGCCTGTGCTGTACTGTGCTGGCCTGTGCTGGCCTGTGCTGTGCTGTACTGTGCTGGCCTGTGCTGGCCTGTGCTGTACTGTGCTGGCCTGTGCTGTACTGTACTGGCCTGTGTTGTGCTGTGCTGTGCTGTGCTGTACTGTGCTGGCCTGTGCTGTACTGTACTGTACTGGCCTGTGCTGGCCTGTGCTGGCCTGTGCTGTACTGTACTGGCCTGTGCTGTGCTGTACTGTGCTAGCCTGTGCTGTACTGTACTGTACTGTGCTGGCCTGTGCTGGCCTGTGCTGGCCTGTGCTGGCCTGTGCTGTACTGTGCTGGCCTGTGCTGTACTGTGCTGGCCTGTGCTGGCCTGTGCTGTACTGTGCTGGCCTGTGCTGTACTGTGCTGTCCTGTGCTGGACTGTGCTGTGCTGTCCTGTGCTGGACTGTGCTGTGCTGTACTGTGCTGTACTGTGCTGTACTGTGCTGTCCTGTGCTGGACTGTGCAGTACTGTACTGTGCAGTACTGTGCTGTCCTGTGCTGTCCTGTACTGTCCTGTCCTGTCCTGTCCTGTCCTGTGCTGTGCTGTACTGTGCTGTACTGTGCTGTTCTGTGCTGGACTGTGCTGTCCTGTGCTGGACTGTGCTGTGCTGGACTGTGCTGTGCTGTACTGTACTCTACTGTACTGTACTGTGCTGGCCTCTTCTGGCCTGTGCTGTACTATGCTGGCCTGTGCTGGACTGTGCTGGCCTGTGCTGGCCTGTGCTGGACTGTGCTGGCCTGTGGATGGCCTGTGCCGGCCTGTGCTGGCCTGTGCTGTACTGTGCTGGCCTGTGCTGGCCTGTGCTGGACTGTGCTGGCCTGTGCTGGACTGTGCTGGCCTGTGCTGGACTGTGCTGGCCTGTGCTGGCCTGTACTGGCCTGTACTGTGCTGTCCTGTGCTGGCCTGTGCTGTACTGGCCTGTCCTGTGCTGGCCTGTGCTGGCCTGTGCTGTACTGTGCTGGCCTGTACTGTGCTGTCCTGTGCTGGCCTGTGCTGTACTGGCCTGTCCTGTGCTGGCCTGTGCTGTGCTGGCCTGTCCTGTGCTGGCCTGTGCTGTCCTGTACTGTGCTGTCCTGTGCTGTACTGTGCTGGCCTGTGCTGTACTGTGCTGGCCTGTGCTGGCCTGTACTGGCCTGTACTGTGCTGGCCTGTGCTGTACTGGCCTGTCCTGTGCTGGCCTGTGCTGGCCTGTGCTGTACTGTGCTGGCCTGTGCTGGCCTGTACTGTGCTGTCCTGTGCTGGCCTGTGCTGTACTGGCCTGTCCTGTGCTGGCCTGTGCTGGCCTGTGCTGTA